TTCCTCATCCTCCTCCTTCCCCATTCTTCTCCTTCCTCACTTTCCTTCCTCATCCTCCTCGTTCCCCCTCATCCTTCTGCTTCTCCTCCTTTCTCATCCTGCTCCTCCTTCATCGTTTTCACTCTGTTCTTCCTCCCTTCTGCTTCCTCATCCTCGGTGTCCTGCTCCTTCTTCTGCCTCTTGCTGCTGCTGTTCTTCCTCCTCTTTCTTTCCTCTTCTCCATTTTCTTTCTCCTTCCTTCTCCTCCTCCACCCTTCCCCTTCCTCCTTCTCCTCCCTGCCTCATTCCCTTCCCATCCCCATCTCCCATTCCTGGCCGATCCCAGCCTGTCCCGTGTCCGGCTGTGTCCCCAGGCCGTGTCCCGGACCTTCCGGAGCGGATGGACATTGGGGACATCCGGGATCACCTGGACTCGCTGCAGCTTTGGGACAGTGCCGGGGCCCCGCCCGCAACCCCTGAGCCCCGCCCGCCCTCACCTGAGCAGGTACAGGGGGTTCTGCCCCACCCCTGATCCCAATCCCTGATCCCAATCCCTGATTCCAGTCCCTGATTCCAGCTGGCCATGCCCCATTCCCATTCCCATCCCTGTTCCCAGGCGGGCTGGCTGTGCTCCATTCCCATTCCTATCCCTGTTCCCCTTCCCATTCCTGTTCCCAGGAGGGCTGGCCGTGCCCTATTCCCGTCCCCGTTACCATCCCATTCCTGTTCCCGTTCCCATATTCCAGGCGGGCTGGCCCTGCCCCATCCCGATTCCCATCCCCATTCCCATTCCCATTCCTGTTCCCGTTCCCATATTCCAGGCAGGCTGGCCCTGCCCCATTCCCATTCCCATCCCCGTTCCCATTCCCAGACGGGCTGGCCATGCCCCATTCCCATTCCCATTCCCGTTCCTATTCCTATTCCCGTTCCCACTCCCATTCCCATTCCCGTTCCCACTCCCATTCCCATTCCCAGGCAGGCTGGCCGTGTCCCCGGTGCACGTTCCTGAACAAGCCCACCCGGCCGGGCTGTGAGATGTGCAGCTCCCCCCGGCCCGAGGGGTACCGGGTTCCTGGGGGGCACCGCCCCGACCCCGCTGAGCAGCAGCGGCTCCAGAGGGAGCAGGACGCCATCCGCCAGTGCCAGCAGGTACGGGATGAGGGATCAATGGGATCGATCAATGGGATCAATCAGTGGGATCAATGGGACCAATGGGATCAATGGAATCAGGGCATCAATGGGATCAGTCAATGGGATCAGGAATCTGCCAGTACTAGCAGGTATGGGATCAGGGATCCATTGGATCAATCAATGGGATCAATCAGTGGGATCAATCAACGGGATCGGGGATCAAGGGGATCAGGGATCAATGGGATTGGGGATCTGCCAGTGCCAGCAGGTACAGGATCAGGGGATCAATGGGATCGGGGATCAATGGGATCAATCAGTGGGATTGGGGATCCGCCAGTGCCAGCAGGTA